AACTTTTTATTAAAATCAATGTAATATTAATTAGAATTTATTAATTGCAGTATGAACATAATATATCTATATACTTTAAAATTTTAGTATCCCTTTAGTGCTGTTTCGGCGGTATTTTAGTGGCTCTTTCGGTGGTATTTCAGTAGCTTTCTGGAAAAGCAATCGGTGCTGTATACGTGTTCTTTTCGTACTAAATGCGGTACTATTTCAGCACTCCATTTGTACACAATCGGCGGTTTAGTCCTGCAAACGGACCTTTTCCGGTAATATTTTAGAGAAATTTATGGAGCTAGTTTGATCGTAATTCGGTAGAGTGAAATTGAAAAGAATAACTTTTACTCGGGACACCTAAAGGACCCAGAAGCCTTTTTATTGTAAAGCACAACAATGTTGTTTCGTCACACTGTGTCTGGTTTTATAATAAAAAGAAAACTTGAAGCTCCAATTGTGTGTTTTTTGTTAAATTATGGAAAAACAAGATTGCAAGATTTTTATAAACAATACCAAGTCTTTACTCTACATACAAGAACAACAATAAGATTATTGTTGTTTCGTATATTAGTTGTAGATTTTCTCATCATTACTGTAAATTTTCAAATTTTAGTTGTAGTTTCAAACATTTGATGTCGGTATTTTTGATTTACAAATGAAGTTTTTAAGGATGTTTGGGAGGTATGTCAAAATGCTACGATACAAATAAAAATTTGGAAGAACGTTCCCCATTCAATTCTAAAACTTCTGTAAAAATTACAAATCGGTTCACTAAACCGTTAAAAAGTTATTGAAATTTTAAAAAATTGTAATTTTACACGTCATTTTATGGAGATTCGTTAACCGAACAGATTAAATTTATTTTTATTAACAGAAAAAAAGCTACCAGAAATTTCAAACTTTTATAATAAGTAACTTGAACTCTGGAGAATCACTTTAGCGTAAGGTTATTCAAATTCACTAAATGGTTATCGAGGAAAAAATGAAAAATTAGCTGAAAATCTCGTTTTTACTTGATAATATAATGATAATATTTATAATTGTCTGAAATAAATGCAATTTTAAAGTTTTAATTATTATTTAAACATATTAAAAAGTTTTACGCTCATTATTAATAGAGATTGAAACTAAATATTTTTTTGTTTCGAAGTTGAAATCAAGGCATATTCACCGCCTAAAGTCAGTTAAAAATTTTCCATACAATATTCGTTATTTTTTATTTTATTCAAAGTTTTTGATCAAATTCCAAATTTTCTCTTAAACCGTATACTTTTGTTTAGTATAGATAGTATTTATTTAGCTCATGATATGCTGCAAAACCTAATTAATCACGAATTTCTAATTTTATGTACTCTTGTCTGCGATTGTACCTCCCAAACATCCTTAAGCTACAGATCTCCTTATTCCAATTCTAAAAATAATGGTTTTGATTTGGGTGAGCGAATTTTAATTTGTACCTGCGATAATCATCATACAAATTGTAAATATTCTTTCATTATCAGTCTCGGCAGCCACATTTCCAAAGCCTACTGACGTCATGCACGTCATGGTAAAATAAAGGGCGGTGACGTACATAGTTTTCCTTTCTGGTCCATTAATGAGAACCGGACTGCTAGAGTCGTTAGGCCACACGTATGAGTATGGACTCTGAGTGACATTGGCCAATTTCCAAAGCCAACTGTACTGAACCTGTAACATATTGTCAGTTTTGTTAGAAAAGGGAGACACTTGACAGTAATTATTTGTAAAAGAACAGACTTCCGCGGTCTTAAACTGCGGAAAACAATTTACGGCAAATCTGATATTTTTGATGCTAAAAGCTTTGATTTAAAGATATATTAACTCGGAAGTGATGAAAAAAATGCTTTTAAGATACTTAATGTTAGTATGTTCATTCATAATGTTATATTTTAATGCAATAATGCGATTTTATAAATAATTTCTTATTTCACGAAATGAATCGAAATTTTGGTGGATGCGCCGAACATTGAAATGTATTGATTGTAGGTTATTAGGCGTAAAATTAGAATAAAAAGTATTATCATAAGTCAATTAGAGACGCACAGGTCCATAAGTCATTGTTACTCGGGATGTTACAGAAGTCATATCTCTACAGATCGTTATAAAAAGCTGCATTTATGAAAAAATATAACTTTGATGAGTTATCAGTTTTAGTTCTTTGGAAAAATGACGTTTTCAAGATATTCGTTTATATATTTTGATCTTCTATAATCTGTCTGAAAACACACATCTGAGTAGATACCTTAAATTTCCCAGTGTTAGTTCTAAAAACTCTGCTGGGATTGTATAGATTGGAAGATATTTCATGAAAAATAAAATCATCGAACGACATACAAAAAATGTATGTATGTCTCTTACTCTCGGTTTAGGACGTAAATAAATATAAATAAGCATATAAAATAAATATTTGATGATTTAAAATATGCCGATACGTTGCATCTACTAAAAAGGGCGATCTTCGAAGATTCATCATCCCCCGATGAATCGCATAGTTATCGCTTTACACATTTTTGTTACCTTTTCTTTCCCAGCTGTATAAAGTAAAAAATCAAGGTACGTATGGGGCAAAGGTTTTCATTTATATGAGAGCAACAACCTACGTTTCGGGTCAATTATGAGGCATCTTCAGGGTTAAAAGGACCATTGTTAGACAAGTAATCAAGATGTCGCAAAGAAACGTAGTTATATTTCTAAGTTATACTATCTGTATGTCCCAGGACGACAGACACAGTTCTTATTAACGTGTGCTTTTAATTATTTATTATATTTATGGTTCTACCTATATTTTGTTGTTATAAGTGGGTTTAATTTGTAACTATTTATTACTTTATCTATACATTGTGTTTCACAAGTGGTTTTAATTACTTATTATAATTTATTACATATAAATCGTTTCACCGTACTACGTTCCACGACAAAATTGCATACAGATTGTGTAATTTAGAAATCCATGTAAGTTTCTTTGCTAAATATTAATTACTAGTTTAATTAATTGTCATTTGGGCAATGCGTTTTTGTTTTGGCCACCGGTTTTGAACTAACAAAAATAACGATAAAGGTTGGAGGGTATGGAGTGTGTCGCAGTTTGGATGCTGATCTCATCTGTACTAATGACATCAGGACACCCTCGTCTTCTAGGCAACGAGGACCAATATAGATAAAACAATAAGTATTATAAACAATTAAAAGCCGCACAGTAATAAGGACTGTGCCCGTCGTTCTTGGACATACAGATTCCCGAGATAAAAATGTTCAGTCTCTCAGAGTCTCTGAAAGCGAGACTCGAGTCTCCGTCTCTCATTGAGTCTTTCTGGTGTCTGTGAGAGAGACTGTCGAGAGACTGTCAAAAAAACTGTTTATCCTCATTTCGTATACAGTCTCTGAACGAGAAACTCGAATCTCTGAATTAACAATTTTATCGTTCGAGTCTCTCATACAGAGACTGTGAGGGATCCATAAAAACACCTAGGCAATAACTGAGAAACTGTTAGAGACGCTCTCAGAGACGCTGAAAGACTCTGAAAGATTCTGAGAGACTGGATAGAGACTGAAAATTTTTGTCTAGGGTTGTATAAGAAATCTAAGTAATTTTTTTTGCTAAATTGTAATTGTAAATCTAAGTATTTTTTTTTGCTTAATTGTTGCGTTTTTGTTTTGGCCAGCGGTTTGGAACTAACAAAAATAACGATAACGGTTGGAGGGTATGGAGCGTGTCGTGAGTCCTGATCTCATCTGTAGATACTAATGACATCAAGGTACCCTGGTCATTTTAGCGCAACGAGCACCAATATAGATAAAACAATAAATATTATAAATAATTAAAAGCCACATGGTAACAAGGACTGTGTCAGTCCTCCTTAGACATACAGATTGTACAACAACAACAATGCAATTAAGTTTCTTTGCTAAATCTTAATTACTAGTTTAATAATTGTCGTTTTAGCCCTGAAGACGTCTCATAATTGAGGCTTAACGTAGGTTGTTGGTCTCATATAAATAAAAACCTTTGCCCCATACGTTGCTAGATTTTTTACTTTATTGCTTTACACTTATCGACCTGCTTTCGTCATAACTGAATTGCTAATTTTCGGTGCGAACGATTAAGAGATTTTAAGCAAGAACGCTCTCAAGACGAACGTTAAAGAAATTCCGACTTAAAGGCGATTTACTAATGAATAATTACAATCTGGATCATTATTTTGCGTATAAACTTAAATTCCGCATTAAATTTGATCCTGTTGGGGACGCCCGGATGTCCTTTGTCTAAAAGTGGCGTCCCTTTATCGTTGCCATCTGGTTATTTTCAAACAGAAAGGAAAATTCGTCCGAAAACAACCCTCAGCGACTAATTTCCAATGTTTGAAATTGTTTTGCTCTGACAGTTTCGCATCGTCATAAATTCATAGTGAAAATTTTTATCTAATACATACATATATTTACTAACTGGTGTTTAATCTTTGCTTTAATGAAGTCGTAAGTTCAACTTAAACAAAGTTAACTATTTTCTGAATAAAACTTTATAAACATTTTCTTGCTTCGTTTGTAAAATTCCCAAACTGCTCTGAAATTTTAGCGTGATTAATATCAAAAGTTGATTTCCCACATTGAGGAAACGAGCTTATCTGATTGGATTTCCAAGCGCACTCTGATCTAGTAGACATTTATGAGTAGGATGCTATTACATACCCCATTATCGGCATCCGAGCGTCCGATTGAATACCAAATACAAGCCAACCAATGTGCCACTAGCATGTAAAAGCAAAGCAGCAGGATCAACATTGCTGCTCCGTATTCTAGGTATCGGTCCAATTTTCGGACTACCCTTCCCAATCTTAGCAACCGAACCACTTTCAAGGCGCTGAACAAACTCCCTATGCCCTGTAACATATTATTCATATTTACATATAGCTAAAACTAAACGAGTGTCTGTGATTTTTCACAGGGTGTTTTGAAATGCATAGTAGTGTGAATAATAAGTATTCTCTTTAGATAGATTCGTAGTCCAGGCAATCTGGGCGGGTAAGCGGGAAAAGTTATTTAGATTAAATTTTTTTACGCAGTTTTGGTCGAAAAATTCTACTGAATACAACGGTATAGGTTGCCAGCCGGTAAAGTGGTCGGGTATTGTATAAATCACGATTGTTTAAACACATGTCAAAAAACAACTTTTTTGGGGCAAAACATTTTTGAAGTGAAACTTCTTTACGCACGGTAGAGTAAGTTCGTTTCATGCGAGTCGCTATGTAACGAAATCATGCAACGCATTTCCCCCGCTGTCTGTCCTTATGTATGCTTAGATCTTTAAAATTACGCAACGGATTTTAATGCGTTTTTTTTAATAGATAGAGTAATTCAAGAGGAAGTTTTATATGTATAATACATGCATAATATAGTAGAGAAACACTGATACTTAAAAAGGTCTACAAAAAAGTCCGCGATGGTAAATGTCTATCTCTTAGGGATAACCCACAATAACCATTTTTATGCTTTATTTTTTACGAGAATTAACGGCTTATTTACGAAGCGATTTTAAGCAATACAGCATTAATCCTTATCCAATTAAGTGCTTTTAAATACATTGTGCATTTAATATAGATCAATATGGCCCTTTACAGCATGTAATTAAAATGAATATTTTCGAAGATATTACAGTCTTAAAATGCAAGGACATAGCGGTTGCGGAGGTACTGACCGGTTTGTATTGTCTAATGACAAAAAAGCTGTGATTGTTGTATATAAAGACATTGTATAGTATATTTACTGTCAGCATTGCACCCGTGCGAAGCATAGTGTATATAAATAATACCATTAAACCAATTTCTTAACCCCTATCCCGGTATGTTTGTGTGTTTGAAGAAGTTTCACTTCAGTAGTGTGTTGTATAATTACACGTTGTATTTTTTTTTTTATATTCGTTGGTTTAATCTCGATGAAAAAGGTCTGAATATTTTTTTTTCCGAGTTATGAATATACACAAAAATCGCTATTTAATATGCTTGAAAAAGTTTGGGTATCAAAACTTGCGTTATTTACAATCAAAAAGTATATGCGTTTTTGTATTTGCCAGCGATTTAGAATTAATATAAATAACGATAACAGTTGGAGGGTATGGAGTGTGTCGCAGTTTGAAGGCTGATCTCATCTGTACTGATGACATCAGGACACCCTCGTCCTTCTAGCGGAATAAGGACCAATGTGTACAAAAGTGCTTTCAGTAGGACAACTCCTTTTACGTTCTACTATTAAAAAGTATGAAATTCAATATCACTTTTTTAATATTTTATATAGATTTTTATCCAGCCTTGGTAATGCCTAACTAGTTTTTGTGTGGTTTTTAAATTATTTGAAATTAAAAATTGAGAAGAGATTATGGGAAACCTTTTATTAATGTACCTATTTAATTAATGTGATTATTAATATTAGAAACAAAAAAATCTTTATAACCTTTACATTCGTTATTTTAACGGATGTCATGTGGTGCCTATTTTTTAATTTTTCTGTAAAACTAAAGCAGGATCTCATGTACAAGAATATTAATTAATTGCAAATTAGTTTAATTGAGTTTTGTTTTGCGTAGATATTGCCCACTTCTGTTCTGTACCTACTATTAATAATCATAAAAATTCCAAGAAATGTTTCATGCCTAAAATTCAATTTTATATATTTAAAGTTGCTGATGAAACTACAGCAAAGTAGCGAAACGTTCAACTGACTGCCAAGTTCTTTCTTTCATGCAAAATTTCTCCAAATCCGTTCGAATAAATAACATTGATTTTGTTTTACATATAAAACGTCAATAAAGAAATACTGTTAAAGAAAATAATAGCTGAAAGATTCTTCACTTTTGTGTGAGTTAAACATCTCTATTGGCCGCTTCTTCGAAGGAAAGCATTTGACGGTTGGGTTATATTGTCGTCAAGGAAACATGAAATGTACGTGACATATGAAAGAAAGTAGGAGATAAATGTGAAGGAACGCAGTTGGTAAAATTTATTTAAGTCATCCTTTGTTATAAATCCGAACTCTAAGAATGCCTTTGTCTGCTTTTTTAATTAGGTTGTAGGGATTAGTATCGATATAAAAAGAAACCTACATTCTAATTAGAATTACCAAAATTCAAAAAATCTTGACAACAATATCGTATTTCAAAATTATATGTATAGTCAATAACAATTTTGTTTCCGTTTTACTTCAAATTGCTTTAATGTTGTGCGTAATTACTCCTGCATGGTCTTTGTTGAATGCCCACACATTAATTTCTGAACATATTAAATAAAGTTTAATGAACCAGAATATTATTGCTCAGTAAAATGAGCCCTTGAATCAACGCTATGCAAAGTGACGGTCTTCCATAAAATATAAAAATCTCTCTCGAAAACTTCATACTGCAAAAAATAATGTGGCATTTTCCCCCTCAAGAAATTCGTAGATATCGGAGGCAGGTCGTAAATGTCAAGGATTTCACTTGTGAAGGTATTTTTTAAAAAAAAGGAAAACGTATATTTATAGAATAATTACCAGGTGGAAAAATGACAATGTCCTTATCCAAGGACGGATTCTAGAAACATTTCTAAGGAGAATTAACTTTTTAATGCTTTTAAATGCAGCTTCTGGAACGAATTCTCTTCCAGAAATGAAGCTTGAGTCGCTTTTTTACATGTTTTTTGTTTTGTTAAAAATGTACAGTCGTTTTTATGTTTTTTTTTGTATTTAGGGGTACATCTAATTCACTTTTTCTTACACAACATTTTTCACAGTGCCTTCTCTATTCTCCTCCCCCTCTTGGATCCCCTACTCTCCTATCAAATAATTGGAGTCTTTGAGAATAAAATAATTAACTATTTCGTAAGAAGATACTGAATAATTCAATTGTAAATGCTTTTGTTACCTATATTACTTAACCGGCTTCTGCTTCTCTTTCAGATGAACCCTGAGGATATCCCGTGATACTGGTGGCTAAACATCCTTTATCATCTGACGCAGCCTAGGACCATAAAATCAACAACTGCGAGGTAATTATTGAGTTGACGATATTATATGGTGTACAGTTATTTATGTAGGGCAATATTGGTGACGTAATAATCGCACAACCCTCATAAAATAAATAATTATAGCTATATAGAGCTGCATTAACTTGTACTGTAAATAATATGAATAGATTTACGACAGTGTGTAATTCCTTATTTCTGACATTTCGCTCCTCGTTGTTTGTACTTTTAATATAAAAAAAGATCTATTAAAAATTTAAATAAACAAAAAAGAGACTTTAGTACCCTAGCTACCACAAAACCTGTTCACTGCGGACACGCGTTTCGTCCACTTCTCATGTGAGAAGTACCGTCCTCTTGAACAGGGAGCAGGTTTTGTGGTAACTGGGGCGTGTCTTCTTTTTTGGTTTAGTAGCTGACCCTGCGAGCCTAAAAGGCAATGAATGTCATGTTAACTTTTAGTTAAACTTATAATTAATTTCGGATTTTATTAACGTAATAATATGATTCATAGATTCTGTGTTGTCAATCTTGTGGTACTGATAACTGATTGACCGAATGATCGATACCAATCGATGTGACAGTTGTTGATATTTGTTCTCTGTATTTTTGTTTACATTTCGATTCGAGTATTCTATATATATTTCAATATCTTTCTAGATTTGGATATGATGTTTTCTTCCTATTTTCTGCTGAATTTCTATTCTATAATGTGTAGTATGTCACTGATTTGCAGTGAACATCAATTTTATTAGAGATAAGCTATAAACGTCCATGAAGGGAGCTGTCAATTGCGGAAGATGGCGTAGTTCCAGACCAGTTTTTGTATATTTTTTTTTCGTGAATTTTTTCCATATTTTAATAGTTATTCTGCTATTCACTGCGATGAGGAATCCAACAAATCAGAGGTTATTAAAGTCGTTCTTCAGTTATAAATGGTGTAACTAACCCGACTTTGTTTTATGTATTTAGATTATAGCACAATAAGATTTATTAACAACACTCCTATAAATAAAAAACATTAACTAAGCGATCATCTCGTACTATCTATTATATAGTTATTCTGCTATTCACGGTGGAGACGAATCAAACAAATCAGAGGTCATTAAAGTCGTTCTTGAGTTATAAATGGAGTAACTNATTCTGCTATTCACTGCGATGAGGAATCCAACAAATCAGAGGTTATTAAAGTCGTTCTTCAGTTATAAATGGTGTAACTAACCCGACTTTGTTTTATGTATTTAGATTATAGAACTAGTATCTTTTTTTATATAAAATCTACATTTAAGTCGCATTAACTTCTAGATCATAAGCGACTATATATTTTTACATGGTATTATTACATGATTTTATCATTTAAATCCTGTCGTACGTAAGTGGAGTCTCGAGGAAATTGTAGTACATATTTATGTAGTTTTGGATTATTTGGGTTCTCACTTAACGTTGTAGCAAGACGATGCTTTCTTCTTTATGTACTCACCATAAGTTAAGGGCAGTCTTTGAGAATGTACTCCACTGATAGTTCATATTACATTTTGTAAGAGTTCATTTTTAACTAAATGTATATGAGTTAGATTAGAGTTGCCTATTCGGAGTTTTTTTATGATTACCTCTTCTTTACGTTTGAGATTTGAATTTGGAAGTTTTTCGAAGACATCTTTTCTAATCTGTTGTAATTCTTTGGGGGAGGGGAGGGGTTTCCTAGCCAGATGCTGCTCTATTTCTCAGCGACACGTTTCTTAAGTTTTCGTCTAGCCTCTGGTTTCGTTAAAGGGACTATTTCAAGATATATAGAATGGGTAGCTTCTTTTTTTGCAAGTTCGCCCGCTTTGTCGTTTCCATGAATGCCAGAGTGAGATGTATCCAAGGTAGGATAGTTTCCTTTCCTTAGTCATCATTCATCAGCTTCTATGAGTTGGTGGGTAATATTTCTTATCATTTGATTGGTTTGTAGAGGGTTCTGTAGGGCTTTAAGTATGGTCAGTAAGTTGGTCAGAATTAGAGAAGATTATATTTTTTGTGAGTTTATTAATTCTAAAACTAAAATACTGGTATGCAAGGGAAGAAAAAGTAGGGAAAGAGCGAATATAAAGATAGGAGATGAAAAATTAGAAGAAGTGGCTGATTTTAGATACCTAGGATGTCAGATAAGTGAGGATGGAAGGAGTAGTAGGGATATAAAGCAGAGGATAGCGCAGGGTCGTGTCGCCTTTAATAAAAAGAAGTCACTTCTATGCTCGCGAACGGTCAATTAAGAAATTCGAAAAAGGTTGTTAAAGGTGTATGTTTGGAGCACGGCGTTGTACGGGTGCGAAACATGGACAGTGGGGCGGCGGAAAAGAAAAGGTTAGAAGCGTTCAAAATGTGGTGTTATAGGCGGATGATGAGGATATCGTGGGTAGAAAAGGTTAGAAATGAAGAGGTATTGGAAAGAATAGGAGAACAGAGAACTCTATGGAAGTCAATTACAAATAGGCGAGATAGGTTGGTAGGACACCTCTCAGGCATGAAGGTCTAGTCAGAGACATATTAGAGGAAGAAACAGGAGTTAGGAGGGGTAGAGGTAGACCTAGATTAGATTACTGTTCGCAAATAGTTAAGGATGTGGGTTGTTCTAGTTTTAGGGAAATGCGAAGTTTAGCTCAGGATAGGAAAGAGTGGAGGTACGTGTCCAACCAGTCTTAGGACTGATGACCTTATGATGATGATGATGATGATTAATTCTATAGCTTTCTGGGTGACATGGATTTCGCATGAAAATGTAGTGCATACTGTTAATTTATAATAATTTCGTTTCTCTTTTAGTAGCACAGCACATGATGCTCCCTCGGTCTAGTATTTTAGACATTCCAAAAAATACAAAAAAAATTAATAGAGCTTCTTAATAAACCTTTGGAAGGAAACGGTGCTAGGGATTTGGGATACCTACCAATAATTCTGTATAAATTTTGAAATAATTTATTGTCCGATTTGTAACCACAATTCTTCAAATCGCATACCGAATGCTCAGGAAGACGTAATAATACACACGCAATTACTTAATTATTTATTTTACAGTTAATATAAACGCAGTTAAAAAATAACAGTTCTGTTAAAGGGGTGAAGCGGTATTGTAAAAGATTACTCTGAACCATATGTAAGGGAAGGAATTTATATGTAAATAGCGTGTTTTTTTATTGCTAAAAGAAATGAAGACGGAATGAGAGGATATAAAAATATATCAGAGTCTATTACCTACACGGACATTAGTAGGATTGAAGATAATTCCTCCAGAATGGCTAACCCCGGCATTCATTTTGTCAAATAATTTTAAATAAAAAAATTAAATTATAGTATATTATTATTTCTATGATTATAGTGGCAGCATTTATTAAATAAAAGTTATACAATTACAAACAAACTTTTATAACATTTCGAAAAGGACCACATTGTTCTAGAGGAGGTCCAAGGATAAACCATAGTAGATCATGTGGGGAAGGGGGGTCAAAAAGTATCCGAACTAGAGCCATAACAATTAAGCGCAGTCCCTAATTGCCATTCTTTTTTTGAGTTTTCCTGCAGATACAAAATAAAGCTTTTTTTCCTTCATATTTTATAAATATTTGATATATAAGATTATATTTCATCTTCATAAAATTGTAACACTCCTGTTAGTCCATTTCCTGATATTTCGAAGCTAGGATTTTGACTGACTCTCCTTTTACCACTCAATCTATCCAGCCTTACAGTTTCTTGTAATGTATATGCCTCCCCTCTTGATATGTGACCAAAGTTTGCGGTTTTTTACTTTTATTGTAATAATATCTGTACGTATAAGTATCTGGGATTGGTTCTCCTTCTTCAGTGATCCTGCACTCGAAGTCGTTTTTTTAATTTTTCGCCAGCGCTTGTTAATTTAATATTTTAAGCCCTCGTAGGTCCACTAAGGGTAGCAGCTCGCGAAACGTCGGATCTACCAGAAGAATCAATCCTAGAATACGACTATGGTCAACAAGTCCGAATATCGAACCCCCTTCCAGGGTTTAAATCATGCAATTATGGATTGTAATGTCACCTGTAAGTTTTCAAAAAGATTTAGGTAATGATGTAATACGTCAGTAGATAGTAGAGAAATGTTGCCTAAATGTTTATTTAAATCCTAAAAAGCTACATTTAAGCAATCTCGAACCACAAGAACACCTACGAAAAGTCTATTAGGTAATAATGTGTAGTAATTTAACTTAGATCCTGTGTGTTTAAATAATATAATTATTGCCGTATTGGCATGTGGTTTATGAATACTGTGTTTCTGTACTAACTTGTGAAGTTTGATACAAAACAAGGCACTTCCGAACCATAATGGTAGTAATTACCTGAAGGTTGCTGGCTGATGTTCCGACACGGGTACTGCATTAGTTTCAAACTACTTCAAATTCCTTCTCAACTTCATAATTACCGGCATGTGGTGCAATTAAAAATGTGAATATACATGCATACGTATTATGATCGTAATACACCTACCCAAGTGGTGTAGATGTATTTAATGATTGAATGAGGCATTTGCGGTTTTTAATTAAATACCAATACAGCTGAAGCTACCTGGATAATTGCACTTATATTTGAATAAAATCTATTTATTTGTAAATAATGATCAACCCTGAAATGACAGAACGTTTTTCTGGAATCTATTTTGAAGTGAAACTTCTTTACGCACGGTAGGGTAAATTCGTTTCATAAGAGTTGCTATGTAACGAAATCATGCAACTCATTTCTCGCGCTGCCTGTCTCTATGTATGCTTAGATCTTTAAAACTACGCAACGGATTTTAATGCGTTTTTTTTTAATAAATAGAGTAATTCAAGAGGAAGGTTTATATGTATAATACATGCATAATATAGTAGAGAAACACGGATAATTTTAGAGGTTTGTAATGTGGTGTCGTAAAGAAACACATTTTTTGCGCTTACATTGCAAACGCTGGCTGAACCCTACGAGATAGATCAAAATAATGTACTACAGTATTGTACACCTTAAAAAGGTCTACAAAAAAATCCGGGATGGTATATGTCTATCTCTAAGGGTAACCCACAATAACCATTTTTTATCCTTTACTTTTTATGAGAAATAATGGCTTATTTACGAAGTAAGCAATACAGCATTAATCCTTATCAAAGTAAGTACTTTTAAATACATTGTGCATTTAATTTGCCGGTTTGTATTGTCTAATGACAAAAAAGTTGTGATTGTTGTATATAAAGACATTCTATACTATATTTACTATCAGTATTGCACCCGTGCGAAGCATAGTGTATATAAATAATACCATTAAACCAATTCCTTAACCCCCATGTTTCAGTAGCGTGTTGTATAATTACACGTTGTATTTTTTTATTTTTAATTTCCTTACTTCGTTTTGGTGCTGGATTTCGACTATCACAATTTTAAATTTAAAATTTTTGTAAGAGAAGATGACCATCATGGGATCAAGAACATGGAGGTTTTATTACCTTTGTAGGATAGAAAATCTAGTCTTTTAATATCATAGATTGGGGATTGTTTTGAAAACCTAAAAAGTGATCACGGTCCCCCTATAATGTCAATCGATTAATTACTGTGATATAAAACGTTCATCCGGAAAGCGCCTAAGCTGGTTTGAAAATAAAAACCACACTTTTTTTTCAGGGTTGGACAAATTTTAGAAAACTGTTTTGTCCAGTATAATAATTTCAAAATACTCAAATTGATTTTTTGAAACAACTCTTAAAACACCCTGTATACTAATAACAATAGCAACTTGTTAAAAACACACAAGAACATAACTTCATAAAAGTGAATGTGATGTTTATGTATGTTTAAAAAAATAATTGCTTTGTAAAGGAAACAGGTATTTTCGTTTCTATTGATAATGCTGATATCTAAAAAGAAAACCAGTTAGTAATTTAAGAACAAATACTCTAATTGTTTATTTATTGAGCTTTTCCAGTGTAACATGTTGCAGCCTTATGAATATTTTAATTTGCCAATGTTCCGGAATGTATAGAATTAACGACGCTAAATTAACGCTCATAGAGTCATTAAAATATGTAGATGTTATTAATTAATATGTTAGTTATAACGCATCGCACAGTTGGCAGGAAATCCGAGTTTTAGACCGTTTTAATTTCCGCTCACAGTTACCACAAACCCTTTTTTAATGACAGTAACTATGTATTATGATTGTGCAGATTTTGTATTATCTATAATTATTTAGTAATGGTGGTTTATTGGTTTACATTATCTATTAGTAAAAACCAAAATACATTCCTTAAAAAAAAATTGGTCTGAGCACACTTTGATCGGTGCTAATACGACTAACTTCCCATTAGATAATACAGTTATTGTAAAGTACATTCGTTTCTTTGAAAAAAACGCGGCACAATAATAAATATAATATGTTATTATAATATGTTATTCCCTGTCTTGAATAATGATATTTCGTTATTATTGATTCCGTAACTTCATTGTTGTGATTAGATTAGAACGTATTTTAATTAAATTGTTTGTAATTAATTCGTTTTTTTTTTTATAAAAAAAAAACGGCTTGACCGATTTCGTTCAAATTTCTTTCAGATCTTCATTATGATAATATCTTTCGAAAAAATTTTGGTTGAGGGCGATATCTCAATCCGTTCTTGAGATATCGAAAACGAAAAAAATGCTGACATACGAACGTACGTACGTACGTACGTACGTACGTACGTACGTACATACACACATCATCAAAAAAATTGGCTAGCATGCTACTAATATGTTAAAACGTGGAAATATAATGAAAATTCCGATTTCACTTTTCGACCCAATTACAATAACTTCCTAATGGGAAGTTAATAAAAAACACAAAAATTGGTGATACACTTTTCAAAGTAAAATGGCACGTACATTTCATGTTATTAAATTCGTAAGTAATAGCGAATAGAAAATTGCGACCAGTATATTTTTAAGTAGCGTAAGGGTGCCCAGGACAATTTTTTTTTAAAATTCCACCCCAACTTAAGAGAAAAGGGGTGGTAAAGTTCTGCATGGTAATTTAATGGAACAGACCATCTTACAAATATAGAGAGACCAGGTCAATGCTGGGATTACTGCTAGTAGCGTACTTGCACTTAGTATGTACGAGGTTTGTTCAAAAAGTATCGCAAATTTTTAATTGCCGGGAATTACGTATATTCGATTTTCGATTTTTTTGTGGCGTTATGTTGGTACTCTCACTTATACCGACAAGTTCGGCCATGTTGAATATTCAGTTAATTTTTGACAGCTGCTTTGCTTCGACGTGTTTTGGCTCGTCTTCAATTTTTGCCTATTCTAAAAAATGGATCAAAGGATCTGTATGAAATTTTTTGTGAAAAACAAAGTAAAGTGTGCGAACGCATTCCGAATGTTTACCATGACGTATGGAGAAGCTACCTTGGACCGAAGCAACGTTTATCGTAGGTACAAAATGTTCTCAGAGGGCCGAGAAGATGTGAACGACGAAGAGCATACTGGACGTCCGAGCACGTCAACAGACGAAAACATTTATGAAGTGAAGAAAATAGTATTGGCCAATCGTCGAATCACCGTTAGAGAAGTTGCTGAGGATCTAAACATATCAATTGACTCCTACCATTTGACTTTTACCAATGATTTGGGCATAAGACGGGTGACGAATCATGAGTTTATGGTTATAACGTGGAAACCGAAGCTCAATCATCCCAACTGAAGCTGTCACACGAACCAAAATCGAAAAAAACGCACTAAGTGTAGGTTTTACTAACAGTTTTCTTCATTTGCACTATGAATTCTTGCCACAAGGTAGAACGGTCAGTAAGGAATATAATCTGGAAGTTATACGCAATTTGCGCGAAGCAATCCGCTAGAAACGCCCGGATTTGTCGAAAAACAGAAAGTGGCTTTTGCACCATGATAACGTCCGTGCGCACATATCGTTGCTTGTACGCGAATTTTGACCAAAACCACACTAATAATGCCGCAGCCACCGCCTCCTGTGAATTTTTCTTGTTCTCGAAACTGAGGAGGCCCAGAAAGGACGACGTTACGCTACGATTGAGGGCATGAAGACGGCTTCGAAGGAGGAGCTGAACAAGATCATAAAAAATGATTTTTTGAACTCCTTCGAGGAGTGGAAAAAACGTTGGCGCAAGTGTATAATATCTGGTGGGGATTACTTTGAAGGGGACAAAATAAATAAATAATTTTTGAAAAAACACAAAATTTGCAATACTTCTTGAACAGACCTTGTATAGTAATATTACCGTTGATCTTTCTCGTATGAGGGAACAATTTTGATTTGCTGCAATTTTTTCTTTATCTTTATGTTATGTTTTATAACAACTAAATTAAAAATTCAAACTTACGTCTTCGTCATGATCGAATGCGTTGAACACGTCGTAGGGTAGACAGCTTAATAGATCGATGACAAACCAGCTCCTCAGGTAATTCATCCTGATGACCTTTGGATCAGATACAACTTCACCACCAGGCCCTACGAAGGTGGTGTGGAAATTAAGAACAATATCTATAAAAAATATCACGTCAACAATCGAGTCCACAACCAAAAGCGACACGTCTTCCGACGTTTTATTCTTGAACGCGACGTTATAAGGGACCATGATGGCCGTATAAAAAGTCAAGCACAAAATAATCCAGTCCCATATTGCTTTGAAGGCGCAGTAGTGCAGAAGAATGTGAGGGGGTGTTTTCGGAGCCTCCTGTCGATATTGAGGCATTATATCGGCACTTAAACTCATCATCTGCTGTCGTCGTTTACAATATGATGAGCAAGAACAAGTACCGAAACGTAAAACAGAAAATGTTTAATAAAAAAAAAAGAAAAGAAACACGAAGCATCCAACAGAGCAGCATGAAAAGAAAAATTTTATTAATTATCTAATCAGCTAATCTACAGACAAGAATGGAAGAAAATATACAAATGTATATGTGTATATTATAGGTTTTAAATTTACAATATCGTTCATTTATAACTAATGCATCAGAAGGAGGAACGATCTGTAACACATCGTATCTTCGGTAGGTATGTAGGGTCAGTTAGGTCATCGGTGTTATTGGTTATTACTCCTAACTGACATCTAGGAATCAAGCAAATCATCGTCTTTAATTTGTGCCGAAATATTCAGAAATGTATGCTAACGGTATTCAGCTAAATAATGTACCGAGAAGTTGGAATTAAAGTGTTAAAAAAGGAGGTAAGGTTTTAGTAAAAAGAGTAAAGATTAAAAAAACCCTAGTCAGCAATAATCTGACCTAATTCATTGGGCAGTGGTCAAAAGTATGGTACGATGCTCCCAGCAGAAATATAGGTACATATCGTTTTATGTTCAATAGTAGAGATTGCGATATACATTAAACACTCAACTACTGGATCGACATGACCATAACCATGACCATGACAATACTCACTTATAATCATAAGCATGTCCTTCAAAACAAGAAGTTGGCACAACTGCGAAAATGTTATTTTATGGAGACATGGCGTCTGCACCACATCTACCGATAGTTCACTATATTGCCATAAAGAAGCGAATTTGTATTTTATTTTGAGATATGACATCTCCACCATGTTATACCCTGACGAATTTTATATATTTAGAAATGGGACATAATTTCTTTAACCCAACATTGATAACGGATTATACAATTTAGAATGACTAGTCAACAATTTGACTGTAAGTTAATTACTAACCTAAAAATACAGTAACAATACTTTATTAGATAAATAAAGAACAGGGAGCTATCACAATTAGACTGCCTCACCACCCTGCATCTACGTGATCTCGAATTCAATTCTCTACTCTCCGAATATTATTAATTCCGCTATTTAAATTGTCGTTAAATAACCTACTAACACAGTAGGTATGTACTTAGGTGTTGCTTGCAATTTTAAATAAATAATTTAGATGTACCAACTTTGTACCAGTGGTTTAAATTTGGATTTATGGATAGTATGTAACAATACAATTGGGACGAAGTAGTATCTTCACAATTATTAACTGTAGTAAGTGATGCCCTATTCTGCATTAACAGAAAAAGTTCCCGATTCGGTCGCCAAGCTTCTTCCCAATAAATTCGACTAAATGAAATTTATATCTCGGACCCATCGTCATTAGTCTTGCTAATCAGTTAATAATTGCCATCTTAATTGTATTTTATTATTTATATAAAATTTTAACCATCTTGCCGTGTTTAGATGTTGTAAAACCTCATCAAAACCTTCTTTGACACTTTATTCAGACTTAGAGCAGAGAACTTTGCTGATACAAAATTTTTAGTATTCCGTTCTGTTCGCCCATCGTCAAGTGAGGTTCTAGGAATACAAATTTCATCTCGACCCTTTGGTAACAGTTTTCTGTCTGTACAATGAATTTTTTACACATAAAAGTTCTGAAACCTAGCTCACGAAATCTAATCCTTCGAGTCCTCTAGTTCTTGACGGTAAGCATATTTGAGAAATTAACGTTATCTATTCTCGGTCCGTAATTTTTGTTCTTTGAATACATAGATCGGTCTCTTTTTTCTCAACATTAGGAACGCAAATGTGGTTCTTCTGACCAATAACATTTAAAGACCAAAAAATGACAAACAATTCAATTCTAGTATAATATTCATGTATCAGCTGCAGTACATAAAATTGTAATATAACAAACCCCGAAACGGGAACTTAAGTTGTAGCAATTTTAGGCAAAATTGTGGCTACCCCCGAAATGCAATACATGGAAAAGAAAAACACTATAAAAGTTGGGAAAATACTACAAATGACGCGGTAAACGCCATCTGTAGTACGATGCTACATTTTAGGATTACGTAGGCTCCAACAAGGTCCATTTAAATATTTTATATTTTATTCCATTACATAACGTGCCTATCACGTTGAGGTTAGCTACACCGGGATTCGTTTCAGCAAGTAGATATCCATATATTTAAATGGACCTTGTTGGAGCATACGTAATCCTAAAATGTAGCATCGTACTACAGATGGCGTTTACCGCGCCATTTCTGGTATTTTCTAAAACACGATGTTAAGACAGCAGGTAAAAGTTGGTCTGTGTTCAGCGACGCGCTGATAAGATTATACTATAAAAGTTCGTGACGGATTAGTATCATCATTAAGATTTTGCCTGGTGTTCCCGTTAACTGCGGGGCGGAATCGTAACATATCAAATTCACTACATACATAAAAGGATATGTATATATACGTTAGCAGCAAATTAACTAGTCAGTATTTAAATTCATTATCGGTCCAGCGGAAGTAATAATTTTTCGTTTAGAGTAGCGTATTTGGTCTTGGTTTTAATCGTAGCCTTGTTCGTTCGGTCTTAGTCTTGGATTTTGGCCTTGCGAAAACCAATTTTGTTCATTACTATCGAGAACAGTACTTTCAGAAGTAATTGTCTTCCGTTGAGCATTTAAATAACTAAATAATTGACTATATTTATAGAGCATTTTCGGTTTAGTCGGTGAATTAATGGCATTGCCAATGGCAAGCTGATTAGGTCAAATAAGATCGAAATCATGATGCTTGTCTGGTAATTACAATAGATTAAATTAAATTTACTTAAAACTTAATTCGTTTTTGTGACACATTTTTCAATTTATAAGTATCTAAAATTTCTGTTAAATTAATATTTAAAATGCCAGCTTTACTACATTATTGCAAACGTTTTTAAATACCTAAGTAATTTAAATATCCTGGTGCTTAAAAATCAACTTCAATGCTCTAGAAGATGGAATACATTCTTTAAATGTAAATGGGAGCACCCTTGAGATATAACCTATTCGATAAAAGAAAGAATAATTAAAATCGATTCACAATTGGCAAAGAAATAAAGTCGAATTGAGAACCTCCCCAATTTTTGAAATCAGTTGAAAAGAGCAAATATACAAAAACCATCATAAAAGAAGAAAGAAATCGATGTCAAGAAACCTTTTTAATTTTGTTTTGCTCATAAAATTCAGCCGCCCGTAAAACTTTTGAAGTTCAGCTTCTTAAATGGAGCAAATCTTCACTTTTAACTGGGCCAAATCATGTCAGTTCGTTGATTGAATTTTGTCTCCGATTTGAATTTATCGCATTCGATTGACAAGATATAAACTCATTTAAATCGTAATTATTGATTATAAATGGTGGGGTGGTGCGGATTGTGCCGTCGTTTTCATTGTCCTTTATAAATAAATAAATCAAACAATTATGTCGTTGCTTTTTCCCATGTTGTACTATTCAATATTAAACATCAATTAGCGGGCGAAAGAACACTAAATGCGTAATATTTTCGCAACATCTTATTAACAGTTGAAAAGAAAATTTAGAAAAAGGCCAAAAGAAATACTCGTTTCTTACTACTAAAAATTACAAAACATATGTATATTCCTCCAAAACAGGCTTACAGAGTAATACGTGCATTAAGCTTGACTCGTAACTGTCGTCTATCCCAGTCGGTACCTGTTTATTTAATAATAAATTCGCTTGCTGGTTCAAGCAAATTTGCATTCGTAATGCTCACCATATTTCCTTATATGTATGTACAGTGTACATAACCCACCCACGAGAGAGTAGCTATCAACGGCGAAACCCGCTGGAGAATTTAGTTAGAACGGCCTTTTAAAGAAGAGCGCTTTGAATAGTTAAAGAAAGTTTCAGAGCCTTCGTCAATAGAAGCCAGAGGCATGTTTCATGGAAACTCTAAATAAAAGAGATCTAATCTTCTACTGATACCACGGTTGCACATCAATTCGGTTCTGCGGTCGGGTAGGAATAAAGCCTCTGTTACACAGCGCGAGGATTGTCGCTTCTCGCATTTCACTCGTCCGCTGCCGCCGTAAAAACGCGCCTGTCCGCTCTAAGTCGACCTTAATCAGTTACACAGAACGTGGATTGTTAATCCACGCTCCCTGTAAAAAAACTTTTAAAACCATGTAACAAGACGCGTGGATTGCTAAACCACGTCCCGTGTAATGAGTTTGACGCGGCATGCGACAGACAAGCGCGTCATAGAGGCTTCTTTAGGTCCTTTGTACGACGGCAGCAGGTGCGTGGACTAGCATCATATATTGCAGGTCTTCGCGAATATAGCATTTAAACGGCGCGTGGAGCATGGATCGGCATTCCACGCGTCCACTACCACCCTGAAAAGAAGCAAAACGAACGCGACTATCCGCTCTAAGCCGACCTTAACCAGTTACATAGCGCGTGGATTGTCAAACCGCGCTCCCTGTAAAACAACTTTTAAAACCATGTAACAAGACGCGTGGATTGCTAAACCACGTCCCGTGTAATGAGTTTGACGCGGCATGGGGCAGACAAGCGCGTCATAGAGGCTTCTTTAGGTCCTTTGTACGACGGCAGCAGGTGCGTGGACTAGCATCATATATTGCAGGTCATCGCGAATATAGCATTTAAACGGCGCGTGGAGCATGGATCGGCATTGCACTCGTCCGCTACCACCTTGAAAAGAAGCAAAAGAAACGCGGCTATCCGCTCTAAGCCGACCTTAACCTTAACCTTCGGCGCGGCATGGAGCGAACAGGCGTGTCGTAGAGGCTTCTTTAGCTTCCTTATACAACGGTAGCGGGTGTATGGAATACCATCGTATATTGCCACTCCTCGCGAACTGTTTTTACACGGCGCGTGGAGCGTGGATCGGCATTCCACGCGTCCGCTTCTGTCGGGAAAAGAAGCCAAAAAAAAAAACCACTCTAAGTCGCGCCGAACCAGTTATACGGAACGTGGATTGGCAATCTA